CCACCTCAGCTGTTGATCCAAATATGGGAGAGAGAAATCTTTTGCCTTGTATCAGCTCAAACTAGAGCCATCCACAGGCAGCAGTCACAACTGTGACATCATATACATTTCTAAAATTTGGATTGCTAGCAAAGAATTAAGCGAGAACTGGAATAGCTATTTCGAACTCTTTAGCTCTTTTCAATCAGACATACCCTTCTGAGATTCGAACCTGGGCTGTCTGCATGTTAGGCAGCTGTATTAAACCTCTAGGCCACTGGCTCTGTCTCACTTTTGCCAGCAGTGTTAGGGAGGGAAGAAACGGGAGGAGTTATCTAGAATGCTGTATGTTACACCCTGTTGACGGTTAAATACCTGGGAGTATATTTAACTGCCTCAAATGGAAAATTGTATAAAAATAATTATGAATTACTATGGGCAAAAGTGCAAAAGGATTTAAATGACTGGAAAAAACTGCAATTGTCACTGTTGTGGAGAATTTCAGCTGTAAAAATGAATGTTCTACCAAAGTTTTTTTCTTGTTTCAGATGATATATATATCATCTGAAAAAAATCTCCTCCCCCTGAAAAATCTCCTCCCCCTGTCTCTCTCCTGATAGCTAACCGAGTGGGAGAGAGCCTGTGGCTTAGAGGTTATAACAACTGCCTAACATGCAGATAAGCCCAGGTTCGAATCTCAGAAGAGTAAGTCTGGCTGAAGAGAGTTAACGGAACTCGAAATAGCTATACCAGTTCTCTCTTTATTCTTTGTTAGCAACCTAAAAATGTAAAATGATGTCGCAGTTGGCGACTGCTGCTTGTGGATGGCTCTAGATTGAGCTGATACAGGCAAAAGAAAAAGAAAAAGAAAGAAGATTTCTTTCTCCCATATTTGGGCTGACAGGGTGTACATTCAGGGTAAAAATCTCCTCCCCCTGTCTCTCTCCTGATAGCTAACAGAATGGGAGAGAGCCTGTGGCTTAGAGGTTATAACAACTGCCTAACATGCAGATAAGCCCAGGTTTGAATCTCAGAAGAGTAAGTCTGGCTGAAGAGAGTTAACGGAACTCGAAATAGCCATACCAGTTGTAGAAATTACTTTATATAAGCCTGTCTTTAACTTTAGAATGTATTTAGACTCCAAGCTTTATTATTAGGCTTACCTATAAGGATTTTTTTTAAAAAAAAGAAAGGTCTAGTTATAATTTTTCATTAACATCAATTCTTGGGATAGCTCAGCCTTCCACAACTTGGTGGTTTCCAGTTACCTTGATGATGGCTGGGACCTAGAAGATCTAAAATTCAACCAACATTGGATTTGGGGAAGCAAATGATAATTGCAGCTCTGCAAAGCAAGGGACACCCCCCCTCAGGTCATGCTGTGCTGCTTCATTGTGGCTGTGTGTGTGTGTGTGTGTGTGTGTGTGTGTGTGTGTATCTGAAAGAAAATATACTCCCAGCATGTTCACTCAAGTTGTAAAGATCATCTCAGTTGCCTGCTTGTAGCAAGCAGGGAGTTAACATCTGCAAAAGGTATTATGGGTGAATGATCACTTTAATGACAATGGCAAAGACATCATTTCACACTGTCCAGGAGACATCAACAGCAAACCGTTCATGAATATTATCAGGAATATAACACTGATAGACAATACAGAATAATTGACAATATAGTGCTGAAGGAGGAGCCCCTTAGCATGCTGAGGAAGAGCTGAGGATCTTTCAGAATGCTCATGAGGACTATGACATGAAACTGCAAAGACAGAATCACAGTGAGAATATGGTAAGCAAGAAACACGAACATAGGAAAGCCCAGCACAGTAAAAGATGAAATGAACGAATAAAATGAAAATGAATCAATTATGCATTGACATCTTAGGCACCAACAATTTCAAATAGACTGGAATTGGACTTTCACCCAGCAGATCATGTGCTTACTGCTCAAGACAAAAAGGAAGAAATTATTGCTTTCATCATCAGAAAAGACAGTACCGGGTACTGTGCCGTTAATGATCAAACTATGGTAGTAGACCATAGTGATTAAGATACCAAATTCCAAAGGCGAAGACAGTGGATTCTACTCCCTCCTGAGCCATGAAAGCCAGTTGGGTGACCTGGGGCCAGTTACTCTCTCTCTCAGCCCAACCTACCTCACAGGGTTGTTGTTGAGAAATTAGGAGGAGGAAGGAGTTGCCATTTAATATGACTATTTCCCAGACTTATGCTTCAGGCACTCAGTCAAAGGAGAGGAGGTTGATGATTTTTATGGTAAAGTTCAATCAGAGGTGAAAGAAGGGCAAGGAAGAAGTGCTGCTTGTGGTTGGAGACTGTAATGCCTAAATAGGAACTAGTAAGATGGAAAATGTAGTTAGACTGAATTCTATAAGAAACCAAAATTAAGTGGAGAACAACTTATTAGGTTCTGGGGCCCCATTTTTTATTCATTACTAACACTATTTTCAAGAAACTAAGTGAGCTGTGGTGAAGCGGTGGTTAGAATGCAGTACTGCAGGCTAATTCACTGTTCACTGTCAGCAGTTCGATCCTGACCGGCCCAAGATTGACTCAGCCTTTCAAGGTTTGGTAAAATGAGGACTCAAATTGTTGGGGCCAATATGCTGACTCTGTAAACCACTTAAAGAGGGCTGTAAAGCACTGTGAAGGGGTATATAAGTTTAAGTGCTATTGCTATTGCTATCACTAAGTGATGCCTATATACATGGATATCACCAAATGGATTACCAGGAATCAAATAATATGTTATTGGGAGAAGGACATAGAAGAACTCTATTATAACAGCTGAAATGCGAGCCAAAGCTGACTGAGGAATAGACCACATACTGTCTTTGAGCATATGTACCATCCTCAAGGCAAACATAGGGCATCACTTTGAAGTTCTGAAATTCATTGATAGAAACCAGAGGAACCGTAGAATGAAATCAGGTAAGTTGTTAAGAATGAATGTGAAAAGAGACTGCCAGAGACCAAAAAACAGAAGAAAACAAATTGGATGTCAGAACAAATAATGGAAGACAAAAGGATAAGCCAACATCAAGGAAAACAAAGATTTCTCAAAGAAGCAACAACAACAAAAATCAGCTGTTACAAGAGTCACATACTACAATAATATCTACAAAGACATCAAAGGAGACAAGAGCAGGGCTGGTTCATGCTTTATACCTGTTGGCATTCATCATTTTTCATCTCTTAACCAACAGTGAAACTGAGAAAACATGATTACAAAGGAAAGTCTTGTTTCTAAAGCAATCAAAAAGGGCCTGAGGGTATTGTGAGAATTGTAGCAATTAGGGGATACCATTGTCATTGCACAAGATTGAGGCAACAGTACTAGAGGCAGAACGAAAAATTGCTGGGAGTTTAAGATGGTTGGATGATTTTGGCAGCAAAAAGAAACTCAGCTACTTCTGTGGAAACCTTATTAATTTGTGTAACCATTTAATTATTGGAATGACCTTTTCAATAGTAGCATTTCCACAAAAGACTGGCTTTTTTTTCTGATGCAATTAAAAAAAAAAAAGATAAGGATGCCCTTGTATTTAATTTGACTTCTGGTAACAGTTACCAGGTAACTGCTTCCATGTAATTTTCTTGATAATTATTTTATTCTTAGACCATTCTAGAAGTTACTTGTTCCTAAAGAGCATAATAAATCGCATTTAATATCAGGAATAATGTTGGTGTTTTTTTTCCTTTTGGTAGGAAAATGGTGATTTAAAAATCTTGTAGTGCATTTTATCTAACATATAAAAAACACATGACTACTGCTTGTCCTTTTTTTTTTTAAAATGTAAACTAACCAAGCCATGAAAGAAATAGGGCTTGAAAATGCGCGCGCGCGCACACACACACACACACAAACACAAAAACATATACCCAACCCCATTATATTCATTTGTGAAATGAAAATGTTTAGCTACATTTCAGACTGATATTTTAAATATCAAAGGTGAATATTTTCATAGATTAATCTATTTAGTTAAGCCAGTTTAGTTAAGCCAGTTTGACAGTTGCAATAAACAGAATTGTGAGATATACAATCATTAATCAATAATTTGACAGTTGCAATAAACAGAAATGTGAGATATACAATCATTAATCAATAAGTAAATGCACAGAGTTGAGAGGAATGGCATCAAAAATGTTTTGGGTGAAATCTGAATTTCCTATGAAATCTGAACACCGGTCATCTAGCATCTGGAGGAGCTCAGCTTTCCTATTCTCATTCGAAAGAAATGTATGAAACGTTTTGAAGAAAAAGCCGAGAGATCAACACAAGTCAAGATAAACAAAGATGCTCTGTTCTGAAGTGTAGTGAGACTAACAGAGGCTAAATTAAAAGTGATAATTCTGACTACTGAGTCAGAATTAAGGGGCTGTTGACTGCATTCTCAAAAGCTCCAATCAGAAATAAATAATGTACCCATATTAGCAGGTTTTTCACAGTTCTTGTACATTGCTTTTGTTTTCAACTGATAGGTAATGTTGCCTGCTTTAAGTTTGTATTTCAATGTAGCTGAGTACTATGATACATGACATTCAATATGCTGACTCTTTATAATCTAAAGAGCATTAATACTATGCTAATCAGATAATCATTTGAATTATTAAGAATAAATGAGCTCTCCTCCCCGCTTTGCTTTTGGGGAAAATGCTCTAATCTGAACTTATATTTATATTAGAGAAGGATGAAATAATTCAGAAACAAGTTAAACCTATGACTGACCAAGATCAATAAAACTAAATTTAATTTCTAAGCCACAGGACAGAAAGTTGGGCGTGGTGTCAAACTGTCCTCTGCCTGCTGCTGATAAACTCCAGACACAGAAGGAAGAAGTGGGCAGCAAACTTTAATGCAAAGAAAAAGTTAGCACTGGGAGTGAACCGCTCCCAGTGCTTTACATAGATGTGCCCTGCCCACCAACCCCATCCCAATCAGCAAGCCAGCATCTGGTCCATATGGGTAAAAAGCATAGTTCAATGTCTGCTTTTCCTCCCTCCAGACGCACCCACGCAACCTCCGCTGTTCCAGCTGTTCTCTCAGGCAACCAGGCAGCACTCTGCCTCCTTCCCCCTGCATCCAGCGGGAGGGAGAGGCAGCCAAGGTGAGGCATAATCCCCCCCTCGTCTGGCTGGCTTAGTTCAAATGCCCAGCCGGTGGTGGGGATGTCTCCGGCGTCCGTTTCCTTGGAGGGAGGCACCCGCGGCGTCTGTGGCCATGCCGACTCCCAGCTGCTGGCCGGGAGCCGGGCTGACTCCCAGCTGATTCCCAGGAGCCGGGCCGACACGCTGAGGCTGGGCCGACTCCCAGCCGATCTTCGGGAGTTGGGTGGCACATGGCATTTCCACCGACTCCCAGCTGACGTGCACACGCTGGGCCGACTCTCAGCTGGCTGTCGGGAGCCGGGTGGTGTGCAGCAGCCCTGCCGGTTCCCCACCAATGTCTGGATGCCGACCCGACTCCCAGCTGACTGTCGGGAGTCGGGCGGTGCTCATGGTCCCCATGCGGACGTTGGCCAGCTGCTGCTTGTGTCCTCCCCATCTCCCGGCTCATGGCAAGCACAGGGGCTTGACACGTGGGTTGAATCTAGATTAGTGCTGGTTTTAGGATGAGGCATTAATTACTGAAATCATTGGTTCAAATCTTTGCTGAATTGGGATCCTCTTTGCACCAGAATTAGATGAATATTGGTGGTGCAGTGATTAGAATGCAGTATTGCAGACTTGCTCTGCCCACTGCCAGCAGTTCGAACCTGACTGGCTCAAGGTTGACTTAGCCTTCCATCCTTCCGAAGTCAGTAAAATGACCCAGATTGTTGGGGGCAATATGCTGACTCTATAAACCACCCAGAGAGCAGTTGTAAAGCACTATGAAGTGGTATATAAATCTGTAGTATATAAGGAATAGCCAACACTCCAGAAGACAGGCTTAAGATACAGGAGGATCTGGACTTGAACACTGGGTGCTATCTAACAAAATGAAATTCAATGGTGAAAAAAGCAAGGTTCTACATTTAGGAAAAAAAAAAAATGTTCAGGTATAGTATAGGGGGTACCTTGCTCAATAGTAGTAACTGTGAGAGGGACCTCGAAGTCCTAGTGGACAATCACTTAAATATGAGCCAGCAGTGGGCTGCATTAACAGAGGGATAGAATCAAGATCATGTGAAGTATTAATACCACTCTACAATGCCTTGATAAGGCCACACTTGGAATACTGCATCCAGTTTTGGTCACCACAATGTAAAAAAGAAGTTGAGACTCTACAAAGAGTACAGAGAAGAGCAACAAAGATGATTAGGGGACTGGAGGCTAAAACATTATAAGGAATGGTTGCTGGAATTGGGTATGTCTAGTTTAATGAAGAGAAGGACGAGGGGGGACATGATAGCAGTGTTCCAATATCTCAGGGGCTGCCACAAAGAAGAGGGAGTCAAACTATATTCCAAGGCGCCTGAAGGCAGGATGAGAAGCAATGGATGAAAACTAATTAAGGAGAGAAGCAACCTAGAACTAAGGAGAAACTTCCTGACAGTTAAGAACAATTAACCAGTGGAACAACCTGCCTCCAGAAGCAGTGAATGCTCCAACAGTGGAAGTTTTTAAGAAGAGACTGGACAGCCATTTGTCTGAAATGGTATAGGGTTTCCTGCCTGAGCTGGAAACCCTATACCATTTGGATAGATGAACTCCAAGGTCCCTTCTAACATTATTATTATTATTATTATTATTATTATTATTATTATTATTATTATTATTATTATTATTATTATGTCTAAGTGCTACTATATTGGGATAGATGGCAAAATGGAAAACAGTTAAAAGAAATTCTTAGGTAGCAAGAAAGGATGACCAGAATCCATGACTGATGATGAAGTCATAGGGTATTGAATGCTATCTGATGATAATCTGTTGTAATGAGCAGAAGGAATGACCTTGAGGGACAGGAGGAAGACCACAATCACATAAAAGAAACCTGTGTCTGGGGCAAAAATATAATATGAGAAAATATCTCGGAGGAAGCCCTCTCCAGTTCTCACAAAGATAAAAGGAATATCCTGTTATAAGATAATAAACCTCAGCTAACCCCCAAGAAAGCAGAACTCTTGAAACTGGCATTGTCTCAAAAGGAAACTTTTATTAGGGGTTAGTGACAGTAGGGAAGTCAAGGTGAGATCTGGGGAAAATCCTGCTTGAACAGTATAATTAAACCAGCAATATTCTTCCTCCCACCAAAGTCCTAATGTCCATTTGAAATCCAGCCAATCCACAGGTGGCACAATGAGCGGTTAATTGGTACAGTTGGCGTGCATCTCAAGGTCTCCAGCTTTCGTTTCTCTGTAATGGTGTCCTTTCTCAAGTGGATAGAGGTGGTAGAAGGAAAGCAGAAAGCAAAAGTTATCCCAAGCGAAAGCAAATATCCCCTGTCCCCCAGCTAAATGGCAGGGGGAGCAAAGCAAATATATATATATATATATATATATATATATATATATATATATATATATATATATATATATATATATATATATATCGAAGGGAGACAATAAGGATTTGGGGACCTGACACATAGTATTATTTCATGACTTTGGTTTCCTAGTCTGGTTTACCTTGGGGAGTTGACATCTACGCACTCACTCACTCTTGGCTCTGGATAGGGTGGTGGTAGCCTCTGTTTCTACTTTCTACTCTTCCTGCTGGGCATCATTGTTTGCCTGAGCTCATAATATATGCTATAAATTCAGTCCAGCTTGGGAATCATCTCACAATGGGTTGATGTGCAGGACTTAAATTTATCCTTTGATCAGCCTTGCGTACATTCCAACAGTTATGAACTGTTAAGCATGCTATGTACTGAAAGCACTATAGAAATGTTTCATTATGGAACATTAATTATTAGTGTTATGATGATTGCGAAGAATTAATAACATATATTTCTCAAAAGATGGCACATAAATGTATAGTGTTGTGATTGTGAAATAACCATTATACAATGTCTGTTTTATCTCTCTACAACAGCAGTTCTCAACCTGTGGGTCACGACCCTTTCACAGGGGTCGCCTAAGACACATATTTCCGATGGTCTTAGGCAGGGCTTGTCAACCGCCTTCTCTCCCCCCTCCACTCCACCTCACTTGTTTGTGGAAAATATGCTGCTTGGCGGCAGTTTGCATGAACTCTACCAAATGTGCCCTGCAGGGGGCGCATGAAGAATGCAGGCACAGAGCAAGGCCCGCCCTCCCCAGAGACTCATGGTGCAGCAACCGGATTGATGACTTCTCGTGCACGCAGGTCAGCGAAGGGAGGGCCGCCGCAGCACCCATCAGCTGGTGATCCCCGAACTTGCGCTTGTCAGCCGGGAGGTCTGGCAATGGCCGCTGGTCTCCTTCGCCACCCCGCCCATCCTCGACTCCTCCTCCGCCTGTTCATGTCGAGCCCACCAGGGCTTGACAGGGAGAGAGAGAGGGAAGGAGGAAGGGATTCCTCCTCCTCTCCTAAGCTTCAAAGCACGATCAGCTTCCCAAGGGTGCCACAATCCTCACAAAAGCGGGGAAGAAGCAAAGGGGGTGAGAAAGCTTGTGGCGGGCTCGAAGGAGCACCTGTCAGCGTTGGTGACGAGAAATTCCTCACAAACCCAGGGAAGGGGTGGAGAAAAGGAGCCCGTTTGGGAGGAAACCACCACCTTCTTCTCCTTGGCTTTGTGCTCTTCTGTTTCTTGGCAGCTGGGCTGGCAAGCCTCTCCTGGCTGGAACTTCCTCTCCTTCCCTCCCTCTTGGTCTCTTCCTCCTTCTCTCCTTCTCCCATTGTCCCTTCCTTCCTTCCTTCCTTCCTTCGCTTCCCTCTTTGTCCCTCCTACCCTCCCTCTCTCCCCTTGTCCCTTCCTTCCTTCCTTTCCTTCACCTCCCTCTTTGTCCCTCCTTCCCTCCCTCTTTCCCCTTGTCCCTTTCATCTTCCCTCTTGTCCAGGATTGGGGCGAACCTCTACAGCTGATCCATGCTTTTACAGAGCAGCCAAGAAGCAGGTCAGCTGTAGCAGCTCTCCTTGGCTCCTGCCCAGCAAACTTGCTCGAGCTTTGCTAGAAAATATGCTGCTTGCTAATTTAGCAGAAGCACGAATCAGCTGTAGCCCGGCGCTGATCCTGGGCTTCTGCTAACTTAGCAAGCGGCTTGTTTTCTGGCGAAGCTGAGCAAGTGAGCTGGGCAGAGCTCTCCTCTGCCTGTGGCAGCCTGTCCCCCTCCCCTTGTCCCTTCCTGGGTATGGAGGGGGGGAGGAAGGAAGGGACGAAGAGGGAGGGAAGTAAGGGACAATGAGAGAGGGAAGGAAGGAAGGAACAATGGAAGGGAGGGAGGGAAGGAAGGAAGGGACAAAGAGGGAAGGAAGGAAGGGAGGGAGGGAGGGACTAAGAGGGAGGGGAAGGAAAGGAAGGAAAGAAGGAAGGGACAATGAGAGAGAGGGAGGGAAGGAGGAAGAGACTAAGGGAGGTGAAGGAAAGGAAGAAAAGAAGGAAGGAAGGGACAATGGGAGAGAAGGAAGAGAAGGAAGGCAGGCACCCACCCCAGTCCCATCCCAGAGACCCACAGATTCCCCTCCACAGGCACTCTGCAACCTGAGTGATCAGCTGGCCATGCTCCCTGGCCATTGATCACATGACCCTGGGACACTGTGAACGTCATAAGTATGAATCAGTTGTCAAGCATCCGAATGTAAATCATATGACCCTGGGGATGCTGCAACAATCATAAGTGTGAAAAATGATCATAATTCACTTTTTCAATACTGTTGTAACTTCAAACAGTCACTAAGTGAATTGTTGTAAGTTGAGGACTACCTATACTTTCCCATTTTTTCCTCGTTTTTTTGGGTCAAGTTTTTGATACCCCCCCCCCGGCCAGCTGGATGGGGGGTTGGGGGTCACCATAACATGAGGAACTGTATTAAAGGGTCACGGCATTAGGAAGGTTGAGAACCACTGCTCTACAAGAAGTTTGGTGTAAGCAGTTTATAGCTATTTTAAGGAAATGGTATGGAGACAATGCCAGGATTCCCCAGCAATAGGACAGAATGCTTTCTTATAACTGTCAATTTCCGTTCCAACCACCACAACTTTGACAATGACTGGGAGTATCTAGGATCTCGGTAGGAATTTTCCAGGTTACTAAGGAAGAAGAAAAAGAGACTTGGACGTGTTACTTGCAGACCAGTTTTCTGCTACTGAAATACTGCCCATTGCTATATTGGCTATGGAAGTAAGCCAAAAGTCATTCATAAGTTGAAAGAAGATAACACAATCAGATGCAGATTGGGGAGAAAATTGGGGCTTTTAAGAGCATGTTCTGGTCACCCTCATGATGGACACAAAAAAGCACAAACCTTCATTTACCAGAAAGCAAACTGGGAGAGGGACAGATTGCTGTTATTCCTGTTTGCTCACTACAATATTATCTTTTTCTTTTTCTTTTCCTTTTCCTTTATGGTAGGAGGGAGAAAGAGTTGAGCCCAGTATCATGAAGTGGTATATACTGTAAGTCTAAGTGCCATTGCTATATTATGAGCCATGGTGGTGCACTGGTTAGAATGCAATATTGCAGGCTAATTCTGCTGACTGCCAGCAGTTTGATTCCCACCGGCTCAAGGTGGACTCAGCCTTTCATCCTTCTGAGGTCAGTAAAATGAGGACCCAGATTGTTGGGGGCAATAGGCTGACTCTGTAAACTGCTCAGAAAGGGTTGTAAAGCACTGTGAAGCAGTATATAAGTCTAAGAAGTGCTATTGCAATTTTCTAACAAGGCACAGAGCTGCAGCTATTCCCCAGTTTTAGTTTCTGGAGATATGTATGTGGCTGATGTAAGCATGCTTGTAAATAAACATTGTATCAGCTTTGACCATTTAAAAAACAATCATGCAAAGCAGGGCATCTGGTGGGTGCCAAATTGCTCACTCCAGAAATATTGTTAGAGCTTGGAATCCATGTTGGCCATGGCATAATTTAGTACTCTCTGCGGAGCACTCAGTTCCTTCTACATTTGTATTTGGGGAACATCAGGCTGAAGAATAGAATTCCTGTTAGGCAGTTTATACTCCATAGTCTGATAATTTAGAAATTGTGTGTTTAAAGAAGTGGGCTAATTTGAAACACAGATGTTTGTGTGTGCGTGTGCATGGGAAAGAGCTTTACTAGTTGATCAAATCATGATTTGTCCAGTTCACCATGTGGGGCATAAATGGTTCTAGTCAACAAACTGACAAGGAACATAGACTAACTCTTGGTGTTTGTTTTTATCTTTCTAGGTATCTTGGCATAACTAGACCCCTCACCTATCCTGTAAGACAAAATGGAAAGTGTATGGCTAAAATGATTCTTTGCGTGTGGCTGCTGTCTGCTTCCATTAGTTTGCCCCCGCTGTTTGGATGGGCTCAGAATATTAATGACAACAAAGTCTGTTTAATCAGCCAAGATTTTGGCTACACAATTTATTCTACTGCTGTTGCGTTTTACATCCCCATGTCAGTGATGCTGTTCATGTACTATCAGATCTACAAAGCTGCCAAGAAAAGTGCAGCCAAACACAAATTTGCTGGTTTCCCAAGACCCAACGAACGTGAAGGGATGGTTTCAGCAAACGGCGTAATGAAACTGCACAAGGAATCTGAAGAGTGTGCCAATTTTTCACGTCTGCTTAAGCATGAACGGAAGAACATTTCTATCTTCAAAAGGGAGCAAAAAGCAGCCACTACCCTGGGAATAATTGTAGGGGCCTTTACTGTATGCTGGCTGCCATTTTTCATACTTTCTACCGCTAGACCCTTCATCTGTGGGACCTCTTGCAGTTGCATCCCTTTGTGGGTTGAAAGGACATTTCTCTGGTTCGGCTATGCCAACTCTTTGATTAACCCATTTATATATGCCTTCTTCAATCGGGACCTGAGAACCACCTACCGCAATCTGCTGCAATGTAGATATAGGAACATCAACCGTAAACTCTCGGCCGCAGGCATGCATGAGGCCCTGAAGCTTGCTGAAAAGCCAGAGTTTATTCTGTAAGGTCATTTCCCATTTTATTACACTTACTTGCAGGTTTCCTTATAGACTTTTCATTCCACATAAAACCAAGTATAGATCAAACAGTCTAAAAATGGATTGCTAGACATTTCTTGATTTATGGGACCACTGAGTGGTGGAAACACCAAAAAGGGTCTTATGTTTGGAGAAGTTATGGGGAAAAGTGAAGGGCATCCTATTTGTCAAAATCAGTAAGAAAGCAAAATGGTCACTAGGCCACTGCATATCTGTAAGATCCAGATTACTTTGTCTGCTAGGGAATACTATCAGAAGAGACACATTAGGGTACAAAACAAGAGCACAACAGATTGTTGAATGCTCCCAGATGGTATCCCAGTTCGGGTAACCCAAGTGGCCTCAATGCAGAGAGCCATGGAGATGGCCTTGAGGGAAATAGAGGTCATTGCAAAAACAAAAAGGGTAGAAGCATTGCTTGAGTTCTTGGAAAGGAAACAGTATTAGAAAAAGACTGAGGCTGGCCCCTCCTTGACTCACTGGGATATCAGAATGAGGGGAGAAAAGAAATCAGTCTTGCAAGATTAAAGCTTGCAATAAAGCTTCATTCTAGTCTTAATTTCCTATCTATGGTACTGTGAGGTATTATGATAGACCCTGAGGGGACACTGTTGTGGAACACTAATGAATTAGTAAATAGATATTTAGATTCCAAAATTATTGATGTGGCTTTTACTTTATAAAGCTAATTGAAAGAGGTTGCATGGATAGAGGTAGACCTTCTCACCTTTGAAGACTTGTAGCACCAAACAAAACCCAAAGGTCAGGCAAACAGAGGTGTAGTGCTTGAACTTTGGAATTAGATAATAATATTGTTTGACAGGGGCTCTTCTAGGTGCCCTCTTCTGTCAGTAAAACCAACAGTGAAAGCAGTGGGATAATGATAGGAGCAACATTAGTGAAAAACAGAATCAGATTGAACATGGTCTAGAGCAGGGGTCTTCAAACTTGGCCCTTTTATGACTTGTGGACTCCAGCTTCCAGAATTCCTTAGCCAGCGTGCCTGGCTGAGGAATTCTGGGAGTTGAAGTCCACAAGTCATAAAAGGGCCAAGTTTGAAGACCCCTGCTCTAGAGCCTATTTTAAGGTCAAATCTGTTGCTCTCATTGTAGTGAACACATCATTTTTTCTAGGCACTCTGTTGTCTGCACTGAGTTGTCCAACAATGTTTAAAAGCCTATTGAATTTTAGACACCAGGAGGAAGACATAAACTACTCAGCAATCTATTGTAATTAATTTATATAACACTTAGTAGATCCAACTGGACTCTAAAGTTTATACTGAGGTGGTAGAAGCTTCATTCTTGCTCTTCCTGGCTTGGCTACAAGACTGGCTGAGTAGTAACAGATATTAGTAAATTATTCTGTGTAACATCATGTGATTTCCTTCATATTCAAAGATATAGTACCAAGATTTCAGTACAAGGAAAGAACTCTCCTTTCAAAGAAATCCCTTCTGGTTTTTCATAATTTCTGTCTAGTTTCCAATATTCCACTCTTGGCAGTGCTTGGCATGTTTTAAGCCCTGGGAATCCTTGTTCTCTTGTGTTCTCATGTATGATAACTATTTTGCATGAGATTCTTTTATATCCCTTTGGAGGGGTAATGATTTCAGTGATGCTGGGAAATTGTTATCTTGTGGTGTTCTTAGAGTTTCAACTTCTCCCTCATTCTGTTTATCATATATATCAGGGCTTTTCAATCTTTTCACCCATTGTACCACTTTTAGGATATGGCAACATCCAAGTACCACCCGTTGCCTAGCAAGGTGTCAAAAGTTTGATGACCAAAAAAAAAAAAAGGAAAATAATAAAGTGCATGTAGTCCTCGACTTACAACAGTTTGCTTAGTGACTGTTTGAAGTTACAATAGCACTGAAAAAAGTGCCCCCCCAAGGCACAGCCAAGCAAGACACCTGCCTGTGGCACTCTAACTCATGTCCGAGGTTTTCATTGTTGTGAACATTTCTGTAGAGGATTGGCAGCAGAGGTGGGCTGGGGATGTTTGGTTTTTATTCCCCCCCATCTGCTGGGTGGTTGCAGCAGGTTTTGGTCACTTTACATGACCCTGGGACACTGTGACCATCATAAATATGAATCAGTTGCCAAGCATCTGAATTTAAATCACAAGAACCTGGAGATGCTGCAACATTCCAGCTGATCGGTGCTTCTTCTGGGCTCAGCGGAAGGGCCAGGATCAGCATCGAGCTCCAGCTGGAGCTGGGCCCTGATTCTGGCACTTCCACTGAGCCCTGACAGCCCCAAAGAAGCGCTGATCCTGGCGCTTCCGCTGAGCCCTGACAGCCCTTCAGCTCCAGCCATCCTCACTCAGGCTTGTGCAGTGCTGCCACCAGTTCAGCTCATTCCCCTCCCCCGCTACCACTTTTCTAGGATGGTCGCATACCGCCTGCCAGGTGCCAATGTACCACAGGTGGTACCCGTACCACTGGTTGAAAAGCCTTGATATATATCACCTGTCTTCAGAATGTTGCAGGAAGACTGCTGATTGGGATTAATCATTACGAATAGGGCTGCACCATTTCTGGGATTTGAAGGAGAAAACATGCTTCAGGGAGTATTGGGCACTCACATAGCTACTCCTAAAATCAGTTATGTTTTTTCAGAGAATTGTGGATTTGCCATTCATAGCTGCTACAGTATCCATGAAAAGAATCAAAGAGTTGTCCTTGACTGGTATGGGTGCCCTTGTAAATGTTCTGGAGAACTTTTCCCCTTCAGATCCAAAGCATTGCAGGGTCTTAATATAAAGCGTAAGACTTTTTGATTAAAACAGCTTCAGTGACTTGTGCTTTTTCCAGACACAATTCAAAGTGATGATTGTGCTAAATAAAACCCTTTGTGACTTGGAAGACTTGGAAGATGGGAGAGTTTAAGGGAAGAGCCCTCTCTTAATTCTGCCATTCCTAGAGAAGGTCTTGTATGAATGGAGAATTGGCCTTCAGGCTGGCAACTTTCAGTCCATGTTCTCTTGTATTCTCTTTCTGCTGACATGCCAAAAACTTTTCATTCATTCAGTATATAGGCTGGTTTGCTGCTGAGTTGGATTGATGCTATCTTTTTAATAATAACTTTTAATCGGCTTCCATTTTTTGAAAACCATTTCAAAAACGTTTGTGAGAAAGCTTGAGTAAAAATAAATAAACAATAAGTGAATTACATAATTTTTAAAAAATGTTTCACGGTATGTCATGGTTAATTAATTTTTTTAATGATTGCCTACATTTCCCAGATTTCAAGCAGCCAGATGATGGTGAATGATCTGTTAAAATAAGTGGGTTCCCCCCCCCCATTTAATTCATTCTCTAGGACTATTTTAACCTGCAGAAGTCGAGCCTGATGTATATTCAGAAAACAGAAGCACTTCCAGACAAAAACAATGTTTTGAAAATCCTAACTTCCAAATAAAACCCCTCCATTATTTGCTTGGGACTGTTCTCAAATATTTGGGCTAAAATTAACAGCTTTAGGAATTCCCAGTCCTGCAGACCTAACTTCTGATGTAATAGGAACCATGCCTGCTTCTCAGGTAGCAAATTAAGATGGCATTCACACTTCACACGAAGCCGTAATTCTTGAACACAACTTCACTTATAAATTATACTTACAATCCACAGAGATTAACTTCAAGTATTACATTGGAGCCCAAAGTACATTATGCCTTAGCACCAATATATAAACAAAAAGAAGACTGAAAAACACGAGAGTAATGTGTCACGGTGCTCATTAATTTGGAATCACTGAAGGGCTGGCAAATCAATAAGATTAGCTTTGTGGTTTGAGATTCCAGAAAAGCCTTTTGACAAATGCAAAAACTTGCCCAGAGATTTCTCTCCTTTTTTTATTTCAGAGTTTCTGGTCCTCATTTTGTGTAGGATCACAATTGGTGTATCCTCTAACGCTGGGAGTTTTGTTTAGCAGTTAATGGTGGATAGGGCTTGACTGAGCCTGGCCAATATTTAAGGAATAAATTCTTTTCTGCTATTGGTGCGGAAAAACAGTTTTTGAGACCTATTCTGGTGTTTGTTTGAGATGTTCTTGGCTGATCTTTCTTGGATAATTTTGTGGGAAAGTTGATCATTGAGCTTCTTTTACACCATTATTTTTTCTTAAATAAAGAATGCTCTTCTTCCTTCCTTCCTCATTGAGGCAGGGAAAAAAATCAAGCAAAAGTAATATAAAAGGCAAAAAGGTAGACAATGTCAGGAATAAATGGAGGAGCTGAAAGGGACACATTTACTGAAGAAGTTTGACCTCAGAATAATGAGCCAATTCACCCCAATCTACTCCCACACAAAACCAGCAATAAAAAGTGCAAAGTCCTAAGAACTCAATTTCTTGGCCACCATTTGAAAACAATTTTTCTCTCTCCTCCATGGTTGAATCTTGCATTCCCAGAAAGAAATCCAGTGTTTGTGAACGCTGTATTTGCTTTCTCCTTGGACAACCTGCCCCATCCTAAAACCTCAGTGTGGAGAAATGTTTCCAAGAGGGAACTGATGGCATTTACTATATTCTCCGGATCTGCTGCAATAAAACACTTTATTGGGCTTGCTAGGCAGCACCACCACAAACTGAAAACTTGTTTCTTCTTTTGGTTTTATGGAAGGGTGGGAATTTGGTGGGGAGAGGCATTCAGCTGAACAACTGGCAGACTAGAAAGATTATGTGCTGGTCTTCTTCATCCTCTGCAACATCAATTAGCTTAGACAAAGTCATGATTGGCTAAAGGTGCTTTCGAGTGCTTTCCAGTTAAATGCTAAATACATTTGGGGATCTGTAGATGGTGAAGATGATGTGGGAAAATGTAGGTTGAAATGCATTGGGAAAGGTGAACAGGAAGAGTTTATAAATCTGCATTTTACTTGTTTGGAGGACCTTTTAATAATGTTATCTAAACTAGCTGAAAAACATCAAACTTTTGAAAAGCAGGCATTCACTGATCTCATATTTATTCAAAGTATCAAAATACCTAAAAAGTCACTCAGTTTTATTAATGTTATAGTGAATGAAACTTTTTAAAGAGATAATGGAATGGTTTTCTCTCTTGAGGATCTATCTGTGGTGTTCTTTATATTGACCACAAATATACATCATGCTCAACCATGCTTCCTATTCTGGGTGCTTTCTAGTTTTGTAAACTTTCAGCTTTCATAATTCTTATCAACAGCTACACTGGTTAGAGAATTTGGGTAACTGAAGTCTTATCTTTCTAAACAGTATCTTAATCGGAATGGATGTACAATGTTAGTGCCAAAGAACAAGGAAGAGCAAACATCAAGTTTATGATTTCTCCTTTACTCACATAACCATGGTTTATATGAAAAAAACCTGTGTTTCATGATAATCACAATTTGTAGAAAACATGTTCTTTTTTTCTTCTGTTCAATTGTGTCCAGTTTTTGGAGATCACCTGAACCAGTTTCTGCAGTTTCTTGGCAGTTGCCTCCATCCAAGGCTGAGAGAAAGTGACTGGCCCAAGGTTAACTAGCTGGCTTTGTGCCTAAGATGGGACAAGAATATACGGTCTCCTGCTTTCTAACCACTGCACCCAATCTATGCTCTTGTTAAGCCGAAGAAAATGTATATTTTTTATTATTATTTCTGTTACTTTTTGAATATGATTTGTAATACCTTTCATAATGGAAAGATGATTATAATAGTGGGCAGAGATAGGCAACACGTCTTGCATTCTAAACATTTCAAGTTAAAAACAGATGGTTCTGACCATTACAGAGATGTTTTGATCATAACCATGTGAAGCCCCACTTTTTTTATATGTGCATCAACACAGACATGGGCAAAGGGATGGTGCTTTGCTTACATGATTGTAATCTTGATTTTATTGAACCCTTCTGCAGAAGCCAGTGGAGTCAACATTTCCTAAGTCCAGGTACACAACTTTTCATGGAAAAACTTTTCTTTTTGACTAAACTGCCAGAGTAAACTGCTGTACCATAATTTTTTCCCCCTTCTGGCTTTCCCACCCAACTATTCCTCTCCAGTTTGAAATATTTTTTTTTTAAAAAATATGTTTTAAAAAATTGAATATTTTGGTGAACTTCTCTTGGTGAATGCTGGATTCTTGCAATTTCCTTAATTATGAAATGTCTAAGAATATCCTGTCTCTTATCCTGATCATAGATTAGCATCCTGTCTAGTTCTTCAGTTCCATGAGCTTCTTTTCATTTGGAGTAATGGAGGTAGCTGAACTCTTCCCAAAGTTTTTCTCCAAAGTACAGCATGAAACCTACCTAGTGGCTGATTATGTGATGGCACATCCAGCAGGCCATCTACCTGTAAGAAACATGGAGAAAAAAACAGCCATTATAAAAGAGACATTTCAACCTAGGGCAGGAAATAAGTGTGAGAAGGAGTCTCAGAGTAACTCTGCCTTAATTAAGCTAGGTATAAATTTATCTGAGGAACTGCTTTAGCAGTCTTTCAAAATTCTGTTACATTGCCCTACTACCAGAAAATATCTTTACAGAAATCCAATTATTATTTCTTTAGTTTGCCATACTCACAGGCCTTGACAGTAAAACACAGTTGCCCTCTGAATAAGGAAATGGTGTCATGATCCACTATTAGCTTCATCCAGAAGAAACCAAGCCAACAACAAATATTGACACTTACATCGTGATGTCATCATGCAAATGATGTAGTTATGCAATTATTTGTGATCTAAGTATGTAATTCACATCATTTGAATCATGTTATTTCTTTCCACTGCCCTCCTCTGTAGAGATCCATGTCAGCAGCACACCTGATTTCATCTGGTATGGGAATCTTGCTGGGCATCATGCAAGGTTCAGCCACCCTGAATTGAAAATATGTAAGGGGGAAATCCACCATTTTAGTGGATAGTTGAAAAGTTGAACTTATGTAGAGTCTGAATGTTTGTGATTTTTTTTTAACAAAACAGGAGGAACTCTGATTATTCAAGAAGGAAGAGACACGACTTATGATTGAATGCTGATGGGGCCATCGTATATGGACAAGGAACTGTGAATCAGTGGAAATTACTGCAAATCCAGGCATTGAAGAAAACCTGTAGGGCGAATGAAATGTTCCTTGTCTACTTTGCAAGGGAATTTTGTAAAGGAAGTTTATGAACTTGGTATACAGTATTAAATGTAATCCTGCTAAATGTAATCCTGCCTTTTCCCTGTTTTGTTTTCCTTAGAAGGACAAATGCTAGCTGTGCATAAATAAGCCCCTTTTTATTTATTTCATAAAGCAAATAATATTAGCAATAAGTAGTTTGGCCTATAGGAGGAATGGCAGACGATCAGCTCTTTGACTTCCTCTGAGGAACGCCCAACTTTGTTCCATCAGTTCTTTGACTTGAACAAAGGTCCTTCGGTAAATTGTCCTCAGATCCAGCAGTCTCCACTGGGGGGTAAGGGGCAAGGGGTCAGTTTTGACAAAGGCATCATCCCAGTGTGATACTTTTCTATGTGTGTCAAAACAACATCAATGAAAGCCCCATAGGAGCTGGTGGAAATCACCACCAGGACAATTTTATAATATTTCAGTGAGAGATAGCACAGTAATTTCTAACACTGCCAAGCAAATGGAATAAATTGTCATCAGTGTAGCTTATAAACATTTGTTTCTTTCCAGGAAGGCAAATGAACTAAGCTTTAGTTCAGTTCTATAGTTTTGGTCCACTTCTTTTTTTTCTCTTCTGTTGTTGACTTCCTTTAATTTCTCTTCTTTCTTTTGTCGAGGGACTGGATGAGAACTGTAGTCATACATTAGATTTATATTGCATAAATTTTCAAGGAACACATTTCCAAATCTGAAATGGAAATAAACATTTAGCCATTATGATAAGTACCAAAAGGGCTAAGTGACAGAAATGTTTTTGAAAATGTAGGACTATGGTTAAGTCACAAGAGAAAATATATTCAGCACGTTAATATGTGCATTTTAATGCAGTTGCTTATTCAAATTTCCTTAAGGGTTCCAGGGAAGGTTCATGGAAAAAAGGTCCAAAAAAATCAAGGTGAAAGCCGTATTCCTAGCCCCATCCTTTTTAAAATGCCTCGTGTGTTTTGTTTTGTTTCTTTAAAAAAAGGCAGGGCTTTGACAAGTTGCAATTCCCATTTTGGCTTCTTTGATCTGCTGCCCCCCCCCCCCCGTGCAGAAACTTCAAAAGTTTTCTCATGGAAAATCAAGTTTAAATGTCAACAGAAAGCTAAAAACACCATCAGGTAGTCATATTTAAAACATCACTGCTTTTGATAAAACAAAAGAGATCTGACCAATTAGTAAATGGAGACTAATTAACATAGGCTCAATAAATGGCTGCAAGTAGACAATTGGAAAATAAATCTGGGTGAGAGTACTGAAGTGTATCATCTGATCATAAAATATGCATGGTGGATTTTGTCCAAGTGTGAACCAAACGTGTCACAGGCCCAACCTACATACATGTATGCCATGACATTCTATTCCTCAGTGTCATCCCCTCAAAGGTATGTATATTTGTGCTCCTGATTTTACAAGCAGTCCTCAATTTAAGACCACAATTGAGCCTAGAATTTATGTTGCTGAGTGAGAAATCTTTTAAGTCCCATTTTACATTTTTTCTTGCCACAGTTGTTAAGTGAATCACTGCAGTTGTTAAATTAGTAACACAGTGGTTTTGACTTTTCTTGTCAGGAGGTTGCAAAAGATGGTCACATGACCCTGGGACATTGCAACCGTCATAAATATGAATCAGTTGTCAAGCATCCAAATGTAATTCACATGACCATGAGGATGCTGCAATGGTCGTAAGTGTGAAAAATGGTCATAAGTCACTTTTTCAGTACCTTTGTAACTTTGAACAGTCACTAAATGAATTGTTGCAAGTTGAGGACTACCTGTACAAGGTTTAACTATCACTGTTTATAAAATCCTAGGAAGACATGCACATGAGAGTTTGAGACCTCTAAATCTTCAGATTCCCCACCTGATCATATGCTCAGGGTGTTTTGTGGGAAGTTAAAAAAGTTAATCTAGTTTATATGAAATAAAACATATAAAGACAGTTTATATGAAATAAAACATGGCTCTTAAGACAAATCTGCCTTAAAGGCCAGTTGATGCAATTATTATCCAAGCACGGGTCCCTCTGCACCAACTTGTCTCTCCTGTAACAGTTGTTACAGAATGTGTTGATGTTGACCATTTTAAATAAAGTTCAGTGTTCTGACATAAAAGCTTGCTGTATTTGTAAATAACTTAGGAAATGAACATTTCTTACTTGTCTAAAGGAGAGGCTTTAATGAATTTTGCTGATATAATTGGAATCTATTTTCAAATGGGGAAAAAGATATAAAAGATGGTTTTGATGTGCCTTAATTTATGGGTATGAGAAAATGGAGGAGAAAACATTAGTTGAGGTGAAGTCCATGTGTGCTTCATAGTTCTTTAGAATTTCTTTCGGTGGGGGGCTGAAGGGTCTGCTACATATTTACAATACTACTATTTTTTGTTTATCATTCAGAAATTATCTTAAATCAGTCCAACTTTCTCCAGATCATCATAGTCCATGTTTGGGAAAAGTAGGCACAAAGCAATAAAGTTGCAGACTTTAAACATTAGGAAGAGGGATAACGTGTAAATTTTAAAAACTCTCTCATGTTTCAGTTGAGTAAGTAATAATTTGGATTTCCAATGCCTCATATATTTTTAGAGAAATTTACTGAATATCACGTTTATATCTATTTGGTTTGGAGACAATTCAAAAATTTTAAATTTTGCCATGTAGTTCATCAGCTGGTCCTTTATACTGTGGTTTCTCAACAGCCACAATATTTCAGTCCCTCTACACATTAATTATATCTGGAAATTGCTTTTTTATTAAATAAAACAAAAGTATAACCCCAAAGAATAATAAAATAATAACAAACAATATAGTTATTATACAGAGAGGAAAAAAAGCTTGATGTTCTTATTCTCCAAGTAGGCCCAAAGAAGGGAATAATCATCAAACTTTTCATTCCAAAAGAATATCAATATTAAATAAAAGCCCAATGATACAGTTAAAATTCTGGAAGGATAAAGTTGCTTCATCATAAGACAAGCTCAGATAGATCAAATTTAGCCAGCCAGGTAAATTTTCTTATACACTTACCTTTCTCAGTAAAATATCCAATGTGGCCAAATATTGGAATTCATCCTGTAGTATGCATTAATTTTGAAGTAATATTCATTATAATAACATTAGCCTTACTCCAGTAACTTAGCAGAAGTTTTAACTATTGGGTTATATCTGCTTAAATTGCATCTATAGTTTTAGACATTGTAAATCCAACATATTATAATAGAGATATATAAGACAAGATAATTTATAGAGTCTATACAAATTGTAAATCCTAATTTCATGCAGAAGTCTATAAATATCTAAAGACAGCCAAGTAGACTTATTCTAACTAATTGTATAATCAGAGCATAAACCAAATTGCTGTGCAACTTTAGTTAGCTCTGGTAAAGACATGACATATTTGTACTGAATGCTATAACACTGTCAGTGTGTAAGGACAATTTATATTCAGTATGAAGTACCACCATGTCCGTAACCATCTGAGACTGCTTAATAGAAGTAGCCAAAGTTCAAGCACCAGATAGAAAATTAAAAGACCTGGAGCAAAGGACTTGGTAGATTGAGAAACATGGAACTTCAAGTCCCAAAGGTGCTTTTCCAAAAGACTTTCTTTATTTTTCCTTGCAGATGTTTTGCTTCTCATCTAAGAAGCTTCTTCAGTACTGACAGAAGAACTGAAGAAACTTCTTGGATGAGAAGCAAAACATCTATAGAAAAAAAACAAAGCAAGTCTAGTTGCCTTTTGAAAAGGCACCTTTGGGACAACCTTGACCTGGATGACTGAGAATCTCCATAAACATGGGCCTCCCAGAATAATCCTCTTAGTCATAATCTATAGACATCCATTATCTCAACTTTAAAAACAAATGGCAATGAGTTTTCCTGAATCCATGTAAATTAACAAAGGCTTTTGCTGTTCAGCATCCAAAGGTAGGTTAATGTCAGGCCCAGGGATCCAAGAATAAAGGGTTACTTCAGAGTAGTTTCTTTACTGCTACTCACCTATTGCCAGACTAAAGCTTTTATCTGCATAACTACTATATATGCCATGTGAACTGCTAGAGGGGTCTGCCTTTGCCCTTTTTCTGCATACAAAATTCTAAGCTATGTGGTCACTTTGCTCCATGGGAAGGAGCCATCCCTCCAGCTGACTCTGAACTACATTCCCCCACAATTAATTTTTAAATTATTTCTGATGACTTGATGATGTACTTTAAATAGCTCAGTTTGTAAATTTGCAATGAGTTTATCCTGAATTAGTTCCTTTACTTCTAAGGTCATAATTCTGGTTTCGGGAGAAGTATATATATATATATATATATATATTTTCAGTGCTTCCTATTCAAAACCTGAGAGCTTGAACTTTAATAACCTTAATGTTTTCATGCATTTAAGATAAACTACTTTCCAAACTTGCGAATTTACTACCCATCTGTTTAGAAACAAACTCAAGTTTTATCATTTATTCCAAGCACATTATTTATTTTTTACTGGATAATGATGTCTAGTCTTAACTATAGTTCTACCTAATCCACGGGCACTTGGGGAAAAAAGTTGTTGTCCCAGTCTCAGTATCCAGGATAGTTTGTCCAGATTTCTCTCCATCAATTATCTGGACTGGAGCTTTTGATTTGAGATGGCAGATGGGGAAATGATTTTTTCATTTCATGAGGCATATTGTTAAAGTAATGCTATTGCCAAGTTATTTAAGGCAAACTGTGCTTGGACATAAATCACCATACACTAGCTGTATGAGTAATTCCATCCACAAAGTCAAGGGGTGAAAAGAAAGGCAAGCCATGAGAATCAAAAATGTCAGCCAAAGCTGGAAGTTGGCAGTCACTGTCTACATCTTTCTCTTCTAAGGCTGATGCAAGACCTGCTTTGAAAAGTTATTTAAGAGAAAGCATTTTCACAAACATTAAAATTTCACATCAAATCCAATACATTACATGGTTAATGTTCCCTGACAATGAGATGCTTTTCCATCTTAAACAATGTAAGTTACTGCCTTGATCAAAATAATTGATACTATGGATATTGTCCTATAAAGTTT